TTCTCATCAAATACTTTTTTTGATAGTTAGGTGTTTACTGAACCTAATCCAAAACAGAGAAACTGTTTCCTTCTTTTCATGCAGAGGAAAGTTGCTGTTTATAGCACATTGACAATTTCTTTTTCTCATTTCATAAGAATTAGAATAGAAAAAAAAATACCCAAGTGGCACACCATTATGTGTACTCCCGCCTGAAATTCAGAGGGTAGGTCTGATCTGGAAATGAATAGGAGCCATCATTTTTACTTCACATACAGATGTTTAAAGCCATGGGTTTAGTGAAATGACCATAGAAAGAAAATACAGAATAAGAAAAGGAGATGAGTCTAGGACCAAGTGTTATATTTAATTGCTGGGTAGAAGATGCTTTGAGAAAGTGTGGCGTTGGAAGAAATGTTTCAAGAAAGAGTAGTCAGCAGTGAAATGCATTTCAAAAGTTGAATGGAAAGTGACTGAAAGATGTACATTAGATGTGGCAGCAGAGAAGTCTTGGGATGTATTAAAGCTATTTTTGTGTTGTGGGGTGAAGCCAGGTTGGCCGTCATTGAAGAATGTGCTGTAATATTTCAGCAAATTTGGCTGGGTATTTGTTAATGGTACGTACTGGTGGTTTTGTGGGGGGGGGGGGGGGTGGTCATTGTGTGGTAAAAAGTTAACCATCATTAAAGGAGAAGGAATGATCGAGTTGAGAAGGGAGAGAAGAGATTACCCACACTGCAAAAATTTTTTCTACTCTGCAAAGAAATAATGGCCATGGAGACCAGAGTTCCTTTTCATTTTTGTATTTTCTGTGTCCTCAGAAAAATGGTCAACTCTTCACTCTTTCTCTCTGTAAGTTTCTTTTTTCATTTTGTTTCCATAGCTTCGCCCACTTGCTCTTCATCCCTGGCCCCTCTCCTAAGTTCCAGTCATGAATTTTTTAACAGCCTGATAGAACTCTTTAATTGTCTCATGACTCCTCAAATTGAGCATGTCCAGCTGAATTAATCATTCCCTTTTCAGGCTAACATAATTTACTAGTATCTCTTTCTTTCATTTCGAAATCCTTCCACTTACTGAGGGCCTAACTCTCTGGGTCTTTTATTGTTTTCCTGTCTCTTCCTCTCTTCCCCATTCTGTCCTCAACCCGAACAGCAGTCCTGTTTGGTAGACTCAGAATCACAATTGATATTTTCTGAAAGATTTTTCCCCACATAAATCCAAATTAATTTGGTCCACTTGGTCCATCTCATTTGATATGGTATTAGCCATAAAATTCAATTATGTTGTTTATTTTTGACCTTTTATCCATTATGTGAAAAACAGTAAAAAACACAAACCGATCATAACTGTGAAAATGTTAGTTGGGTTGAAGATATTATTTATGTAGCTTTTTATCAGCATAATTTTATTTGTTAATGGTAAATGTGAAATTTTCTGATTATAAGGTTTTTAAACAATTTTTTACATGTATGCAGAATCCCACACTGACATTTTCATTCTTTTTCTGAAATTAATTTATTTAAAGGAACAAAATATGTGAATTCTACTTTGATTTTGTGTTACTGCAGGAAATTAATACTATGTAAACCCAATTCTATTATATTTAAATGTATTGATTGAACTATAAGTAATAAATACTTGATTATCATTTTTTAATTGTATGCTAGAGATTAGTAACGGTTTTTAAATAGAGCATTGGGACGTGGAAAGGAAGATAACTTTCATTTTATGTGGAGTCATGTTTATTCTAAAATATGCTTTCATACGTGCAGGAAAATCTTCATGTTTTGAATACAGTTCATAGTATAGTGGAAATTTGCATAGTTATCACTAGATCTTCAACTTTGATGTGGAATTCTGATAAACACCCACAGCAAAAATTTTAAGATGCCTGCATGCTTTTTGCATTGTTAAAAAGACACCCACATTAGGGCGCCTGGGTGGCTTAGTCTGTTAAGCATCAGACTTCAGCTCAGGTCATGATCTCATGGCTTGTGAGTTGAAGCCCCACATGGGGCTATGTGCTGACAGCTCAGAGCCTGGAGCCTGCTTGGGATTCTGTGTCTCCCTCTCTCTTTGCCCTTCCTCTACTCAGGCTCTCTAGCTTGCTCTTTGTCTCTCTGTCTCTCTCTCAAAATAAACATAAAAAAAAAAAAAAAGACTCACATTAATACTTAACCTTGGAAAAGTTAGCTTATGACATATATATGTCTTTTTCGTTTTAAATAAAAATGGAAAGGAAGAGGTATTTTTGGATATTATAGAAACTTTTTTTTTTGTAATACTTGGAAGGTTATATAATATATTAACGTCTCTATTTACAAGTTAAGGGCAGAGCACTACATACCCTAGAGTGAAAGCCAAGGAGCTTCTGTCTGCTTTACAATTGATTGAATTAACAGGGAGAAATTTTTATTCTGGCTTTATTTCAATAATGGAACTATTGAGTCATCAATGCCTATGAGGAGTCTTTTTTTTTGTTTTTTTTTTTTTTTTTTTTTTTGAGTGGGGAGTGATCATCATCGATGTTGTACTGTCCAGAACACCTTCAACAGTGGAAATAAAGCCAAAGTGGGTTGCTCTTGTGATTGGGTCACACAGGCCTCTGGTCACATTTCTTTTTTTTTTCTTGCCTATACGTGTTTCTAACAGTTATGGTTACTGATTACATTGTTTATACCAGATGCTAAGTGAGGAAGGGGAATAACAAAAGGCACATGGACTGACTGAAATGAGGAGTGAGACTCTGCAGTCTGATACCAAAGAAAAAAAATGACCAGAAGTAGTCATTTCAAAAATGAGAGCCAGCAATTCCACTGGAATTGAAAATTCTGTTTTCAATTCCAATGAAAATGTATGTCCACACAAAATCTTGTGCACACATGTTCACAGGAGCATATTTCATAGCAGCCATAATGTGGAATGGGCTCAAATGTTCATCAAGTGAAGAACAAATAGACAAATGTGGTATATCCATACAATGGGATATTATTTGGCAATAAAAAGGAGTGAAGTACTGAACATATGGATGAATCTTGAAAACGGTTACACTGGGTGAAAGAAGCCACAGACAGAGGCCACACATCACATGATTCCGTTCCATTTGTATGAAATGTCAGAATAGGAGATCCACACAGACAGAAAGTTGATAAGTGATTGCCAGGAGCTGGAGCAAAGGAGAAATGGGAATGACTGCTGATGGGCTTAGAATTTCTTTTTGAGATGATGAAAATTTTCTAAAATTGATTGTGTGATTGTGGTGATAATGGTGAAACTTGGTGAATTTTCTAAAAGTCATTGACATGTGTACTCTAATTGGGTGAGTTGTGTGGTATATGAATTATATCTCCATAAATCTGTGCAAAAAGTATAGCAGATTAAGTTAATTAATTTTTGTTAATGGGAGTGGTTCTATATACCATACGCTTGGGGCAATCTTCTTAGAGTACAGAACCGTAATCATTGATGCTGAAGATAGTAGTTATGAAACTGTGAGTTATAAGGGCAATTATTATAATTTATGTCCCGTAGGCTCTGTTTTTAGAACTCTGTCAACTATCACAGATTTGTGGTTAACACTAACATTCATGTTTAAGTTCTTTGTGATCTTAGGCGGACTTGTTTTTTGTATGTTTCACGTAGGTGAAGTTATTGCCTTGTCTTTTAATGGAGAATGAGGATTAGTTGAAAATTAGATTATTTTTTTATTGTCATTAAAAAGCCTAGGTAAAATAATTTGAAAAAATATATTTAAAGAAATTATTGCATCTAACCTACAATGTTTCTTCTGTGGCTTCAAAACCTAAGAATTAGTAGTCATTCAACTAAATATGGAATGTAAGAGCTGATCCAGGTTGATCTTAAGAAATACAATACATCAAATGGAATTTAATGAGCTTACTTGCCTAATAGATACTGGTCAAGCAAAAAAAGGAAAGTTAGGGTTATGACATAGATTTTTCTCTCTGGTAACACAGCATCTGGTATAGCTCATTTCTGTGAAAAATATTTGTATTAGGAAATCACTAGAGAGTATGAACCACTGAAAATGGCTTAAAAAAGTATGGTAGGAAATCCGGATGACAAGTTTGAGGGTTATATGATAATTTAGTTGATTTTTCTCCATTTAAAGAATGAGATTAAAAAAACAGCTGTATTTTGTTCCCTGCTGTTGACATACAGGTAAAGAAAAATTATGGGGATAGTGTCAGGGACATGATTCTAGACATAAAGCATTTTCCCTGCCCCAACACCTCCCTTCACCCTTCATGACCTGTTTAATAACGTTGTTCCTCGTTTGGAAATGTGTCATTTATCTTGGGTGTATTGGAACCGAACAAGAAAACTAAAGGAAGAGGGAGAGAGAGAGGGAAGCTAGAGAACAAAATATAAGAATAATACAATCAGACATGAAGGATAAAAACCAGTTCATGTCTGAATTTGAGAAAAATTACAATGGAAAAAAAGCACTAAATGGTTGAATGCAGATGAAGAGTGCGTAAAGGCAGGAGTTAGGAATGAATCTTGGGAATCCGGCTATAACGGACTATAGGGGGAAACCTGTTCACTGGTGATGAGGAGTTTTAAATTGTTAATGTTGTAATTTCATTTGTAGGAAGGATGCCAACCAAATACTGTAAAGTTGTGGCCAGAGAAACAAGGTCTGAATTGACTTACTTAGCTAAGCCTATACTTAGCAAACAGTATTTGTTCTCCAGACACCACCAAAGTGTAATTAAAATTTGAAATGATTAAAATGGGTTTACTGTCATGATAAGATTTAAATTTTTTAAACACTCATTAATTAAGGTTTTCCTCTACTTTGTTGCTCTACATTTTTTTTTTAAAGGTAAAATATGTGCTGTACATTTTTTTCCTTAGGTAAAATATGCAGACTCCCTTGATTCTTGGAAATCTGTATCCTCTTAAACATGACTAAATGTATTTAGTGATATTTGTCTTTATCAGATGATTGTGAACTTCAAATAATGAATAATTCACACTTCTTTTATAACCAGGAACCTTTTGAGGACGGCTTTGCCAATGGGGAAGAAAGTACTCCAACCAGAGATGCTGTGGTCACGTATGCTGCGGAAAGTAAAGGAGTTGTGAAGTTTGGCTGGATCAAGGGTGTATTAGTACGTACCTATAGACTTAATTTTAGAGTTACAACATTTCTTTTTATTAGAAAATCTTCCTAATATTCTTATCATTTCTTAAGAGAGCTTGTCTGTTACAGAAGACCATATTAATAACATGTACCTCTTTTTCTTGTATTAAATTCAGTAAAGGAAACAGGATATATGTATTAATGGAATCATACTGTAGTTGATTTCCTCTAAATTATATTCTGTTACCTCTTATAAATCTCACATATTGTCATTTGTCAGAAATTAAGTATGAAATGATGAAATTGTTGGAAGCATCAGAATCAAGAAAGCTGAACGGGCAATAGAGCTGATAGATTCCTGCTTCCTTTTCTGCTATGCCATTATTTTCTCGAAGAGAAATGTATAAAAGTTAATGAGGAACAAAATAAAGGAGAAATTGTTTTCTTAAGTGTTGAGGTCACTTCACTAGATAGGTTTGAGTGACTTAGTTTCAGATTTGCTTCTGTTTTTCTGTGTTCACATAGGCACTAAGGAACTGACTAGAGTAGACAGGTAAACTAAAAGGCCCTCCCATTTAGACTTTGGGGGTACTTAAGAGTTGTGTTGACGTTTAGAAAAGAAGTCGAGGAGAAGTCCCACTTCTAGGAGTACTTTCATCACTTTTAATGAACAGAGTAAATGTGAAGCTCCAGGTAGTGCTCTTTGCCTATTCTTAAATGTTTATATTTTAGAAGACTATGTTCTATGTGTAAGCATAATAAATAAAAGTAAAAATAAATACAGGAAGCTCTGTCAAATAGTTGAGAGTTTTAAAAGATATGTGAGGAGCACCTGGCTGGCTCAGTCAAAGGAGTGTGCAGTTCTTGATCTTGGGGTGGTGAGTTTGAGCCCCACACTGGGTGTAGAGATTACTTAAAAATAAATATACTTTAAAAAATAAAACATGTGTGAACAATTGGCATTTTGTGTTGACAGATATTTTGTAATACCTGAATCTTCTGAAGGAATCAGGAAATAAGTCTGTTGATAAAGAACAAGCAAAAATTAAACCTAGTTGCTTTGATAAATGGGAACAGGAACTACTTTCTTAGGGTTGAAGTCTTAAAATACCCTTTTTCCTTGTTCAGTGGCTTTTGCTGCTGTGTGTGTGTTATATTATCCTTAAATTAACTTACATTTTGGCTCTCAGTAAATTCTTTTAAAAATAATATAAAGAAAAGGATAAGAGATTTAAAGTGATTTTCTATAGTTCTAAATGTATGTTATCCTCCTTTTGGCTAGTTTAACATATACTGATGTACTATGTTTGATGACTTTGTTTCATCTGTAACTTGGCTTCTTTTCTTTTCTAGGTACGTTGTATGTTGAACATTTGGGGTGTGATGCTCTTCATTAGGTTGTCGTGGATTGTGGGTCAAGCTGGAATAGGTAAGCGAAGTTCCATACTGCTTGATTCACTTGAGAATGAGTAAGCAGAGTAGCTGTGTGCTCATCTAGCCTGGGAACCTCCTAAAATCCAACAATTAGAAATTATTGTACGCTGTTTTTACTTTGTATCAGATTGTTGTCTTAATGTTCCTTTTTTTATAATTTTGGTTTGATTTTTCTAAAATGGGGTAAAAATAAGGTAATTGTTCACTATAATGTAAATTAGGTTTATTAACCTTTTCTAGATATAGCAAGTTGAAATAAGTATTTCTCAGCCTCTTTTCTTTTCCCCTCAAGGTCTGTCGGTTGTTGTAATTATAATGGCCACTGTTGTGACAACTATCACAGGATTGTCTACATCAGCAATAGCTACTAATGGATTTGTCCGAGGAGGTAAATTCAGTCTTCTCACATCATTGTTACGAGATTACTGTTGCTAATAAAGTGAGGTTTAAATTTTTAAATTAATTTTTACCTTTCAAAAAGCAACATAGGTCTGTATAGGTGAGAAATGATACTGAGCACTTTCAAACTAGTATATTTAAATATAAAATTTTATTTCAGCCCATACAAAAACATGTATGTGTCCAGTTACTTAGGATCCTCAATGTATCTTGTAGCAAGAATGGAGCTTCTAACCGATTTCTTCTCATTTGGGTTGCCCCTTATTGCCTCCTCCCAGATTTCAGCCCTTAGATGAGTGGCATGCATCTAGTATTTGTTTAGTATTCTATAGGTGTAACCTCATTCTTCCCATTTAGGGTAACTTTGACAGAGTTCTTTTCCCATGACCTGACAGCTGGTATATTACGCCCAGAACTCGGAATCCACACTATCAAGTCTTGGTCTCTTCTTTGGGTGCCCTGAGGCCTCTTTCTTTGGAGTCCACAAGATCTGCCTTGTGAGATTTTTACCTCGCCCCCGCCCCCCTCCTGCCAAGGGAGAGAACCCAGGAGATCAGGGGAATGGCTTTGGGACCTCTTGGAAGAAGAAGAGAAGAATTCCATTTTCCAAATCAGAACCCGTCATTTAGCTGGAATGAGGAGATCCCTAGAGAAAGGGGAGAACATGGACTTTAGCATCTCCTGTAAAGTTGTCAGAGTGGATCGACTGACAAGAGGATCAACCTGTACCATCTGCCTCACCTATTTTACAGATCAGTTTGACATTATGTATACCCAATTTCTGTTTTATCTGCATCACCTATTTAGAGAACTACATTGAGCCTTTCATTCTTCCTCATCGTCTTCCTATTTCTTACTTACCAGAATATCCAAATCACTGTGGCCCTGGGGGAAGCTAGTAGCAATATGATTATGGCCGTGCTGAGCATGCATGACTGTTGGCTGAAGTTTTATGTGTACATGAGTCTACACTGAGCCATATTGTGGTGTAAGGTATGGATTTGTCCAAAAGTGTTTCGTCAGGCTACAGTGAGACTTTCTTTTTGGCTTCTTGCGTACTGGGTGCCCCATGCTTCTTTTATTTCCGCTACTTCCATTCTGGGCAATAGAAGTGAAAGGAGAAACGAATGCGGTGTTAGGTACTTGTGGGGACCAGCAAGTCACCAAAGAACTTGTCCCTATCTTCAGGCTTTCCAGTCTAGGTTGTAAGCCTCAATGGGGGCACTGGGGCATGAAGCCGTTAGCAGCGTGAATCCCACAGACTGTTCTTCTCCATGTGAACACAGACTTAGGGGAAGCATAGATTCTCCTACATCATGACTGAAAAGCCATTTCATCTTTGATACTGCCAGTAGTTTTTATATATATCCATGAATGCATGTACTTTAGAGACTTTGACCACAAATTTTGAAACTTTGCTAGAAGGCATTCAGTTTTCACTTGTTGGTGACTTTGGAAATTTGGCTGATCCTTGACAGAATATAAAAAAGTTGTTTCATCACCTGCAGTGAAAGTTTCGTGGAGTTTTTTTTCAATGACTGTAAGCCCCTTCTGTCACCTCTATCTGCTTCATGGACTTGGACAGCTGTAATGGGATTTATTTATGTTCCACAAAGTAGATACAAGTCTAAATCTTGCGAGAATATATTGCATCCTATAGTCATGATTCTAAGTTGAATATATTGTTGTGATTCACACGTTTTATTCCAAAAGTCCCTGTCGCTTACTTCTTTGCATAAAAGTTCCCTGTAACAAATGACCAGCCCGGTAGCAGTGAGCACCCCTTAGTGCCTATGTTGTGTATTTTCATTCCGAGGAACCAGGGGACCTTAGAGAAACAATTGATTTCCAGATCTGGGCAGGAAATGTACTACAAGAGCCTAGACATCTTTTCACATTGGAAAGTAGAGAGGTAACAAAGGTGCTTGGTTTCAGGTCAAAAGGACCCAGGAGCCAACTTGAAGAAGCTAACACTGACCTAAGTTTGGATAATTTGAACAGCAGTACTACTACTAATAACTGTTTTGAATGAAGATATAATATATGATAAAATCCTTAGGTTCACAGACACCACAAAAAAAGATCTTTTCATTTTTTTTTACCTTTGAAGAATGCTAGGGAACTAACTTATTAGCAAAATTGATAAATAAACATAAAGAATCTCCTGTTGAATCAAGCTTTCTTGAATGAAAGTGTCCTTACCTAAACTCGGTGTAAGCAAGAAATTGATGAGATTTGTTCTCTGATAATTATTCTATGTGATAAGGGAAGAAGGAAAGAAAATTAAAATGTTCCAACTTTGTAAGCCCTTTACTCAATAAAAGTATCTGAACGATTGTTTTCTGAGAAATTGAATCTGAACTATGTCATTGCCTGTAGCTCTAGGAAGCATTTTATATAATATGCAAGGGAGACAGGAACTTAGTAAATGACACTATAGGATGACTAGATCAAATTCCAGACTGGGAATGTGTCTGGAACAAGAATCCCCCCCCCCCCTTTTTTTAAGTAATGTGTACACCCAGCATGGGGCTCAAACTCACAACGCTGAGATCAAGAGTCACACGTTCCACCGACTGAGCCAGTCAGGCACCCAGGAATCCTTATCTGACATAATTTTCTAAGGAGAAAAAGAGGGAGAGAGTTAGGGTTTAAAACTCATGTATAGGTATGAGTTTGTTTGCCATTTGTAACTGTAAACTACTTTGTCTTTTAGTGGGTTGGGACCAAGAGTGCCGAGTTTGGATCTCCTCTAGCCCCATCACTGAGGATTGATTTTCACTTCCTCTCGTAAAAGGGCTACATAGGGAAGAGAGGAATGGAGCTAGAAGTGTCCATAGGGTCAGGGTGCTGAAGGCTTAGATATCTAATGGAGAAATGGAAGGGTATCATGGGAATAGTGATGTTTTGAGGCCCATCTCAATTTTCTGTGATTGATTATTAAGGGAATTAACAAGGAAATATTTTACTGAAAAGTTGTGGTTGCTCTCTATAGTGGTTTTAATTTGGAGAGACTCCTTTTGAACTTGACTAGTTATCTTATTAATATAAAGAACTGCTTGAGGTGGTGTTCAACAGTTTATCTTGATTCTTAACTTCTACATTGATTTATATTTTATTAATATTGAATAATATTTTATTCTTGGTTTCTAGGGTATGTTTCCAGCTGTGTGGCAGTATGTGAAATGTATACTTTTCCTATGTGCTTTTTGCCATAGGAGAGGTTTAAGTTTACCAAGTAACCTTAACATTGGCTTTAACAGTACATTTTGGAGATTAAACAGATACCAATTTATAAAAGTGTAGTTTTTTTAAATATGAAATAACTGCTAACTTATAAACAAATATAATGTCCAGTTATGAAGTCTAGGATAAAAATAATATAACAACATTCAGGGTTTCTTTAAAAAAAAAAAGAGTCAAAACTTAAAAAATATAAGATGCTTAGTTTTGGGCTTGATTAGATTTTAGTAATGATGTTTGGATAATCATTACAACTACTAGCAGGTGAGAGCATCATCCCCTCAGTTCTCTCCCTGCACAGAATAAGACGAGCAGTGCTGAGTAACTTCGGTACATCTTTACCTTCATCTCTGGCATAGTCCTTAGCCCAACAGACACATACATTGTACAGATAGTCAGGAGCCAGGGCTCTTTACTGTGCCACAAATCCTGTCCGTGTTGAGACCTGGGTTTTACAGAATTGACCTGCGTCATGTTCAACGAGTTCCGCAACCCAGATGGTGCTGGCCAGCGGCTGCTTTCACTGAGATCTGCATTTTCTAGATGTCACAGGCCAAAGTTCTTCCATCCACAAATAATTAGTCTGTGAATATGAACTCGTTTATGACATAGAGGACAAGCAGAGGCAGCCTTTTATAACATGAAAGTGTAAATACTAGTTGTTCATTGTATTGTGTTATATGACCTGAGGATTAAGTTGAAAACAGAAATTAGTGCAGTTTCAAATAAAAATCCAGGTTACACCAAATTCAGAGGAGTAGTTCTGAACATGTAAAATCAACATAAATGACCAAGGTGAAATTTTATATTACTTGTATTTCAGTCACTCAACAGGTAATTGTTGAGCTCTTGGTGACAGGCACTGGGTTTGTAACCCTCACTGTCAGACAAGATCCTATTTTCTTGAAGCTGTGTTCAGATAATAGTGGCAATTATTTTTTGAAACATAACTGCTGGGCATGATAACATGCTTTTGACCTACATTATCAGATTTAATGCATCACAGTTGTTAGTCCCATGTATAATTTGTACGGATGAAGAGAGCGAAAATGAAACACACTAATTTTTTCAACAAATTTAAATGTTATGCAGGTTTTACTGATGAATCTTTAAGTTTCTGCAGTATGTCAGGATTGTCTTTATATACTTCGGTTTCATTTTGCTGAAATAATTGAAGACCTCCTCATTCTGTATATAGGTAAAACTAAATATTGGAAGTAATCCTAACATTTTTCACATGGATTCTAAGTGACAGAAAGTGCTTACTGTATTAGTAAAATCAGATTATCATTGATTGTGCAATTTTTTGTTTAGTCTATTATGTAACTATTCATTCCTGTCATCACCAAGCAATGAGTTGTAACTTAGAAATAAGCTCCATAGTTCTTTCCTTTTATTGCTAATTTCTTTCAAATTACAGCTTTCCAAATCAGTGAAATGTTTGAAGAAGCTGTAAAAAGCAGTTCTGTAACAGTTGTATTATGAGGTTTTATTAGACTTCAACATAACATTGTGTTTTCAGTTTAGTAAAAACATGACTTAAGAAACCACAAGTGGCTCAAATGTGAATCTGGCAAGTAGTTGTAAATAATTTTTCATTTGGGTTTTCTCTTTGACTTACTTAGTGGCATTTCAATTTTGCCAGTCTTTAATGATTAAAAATACTTGAATCTCATTCTGAAATTGTCTACTGCAGAATTAGGGCTCTATGTCTTGACTCTTCAAGTTTAATATTTAAAGTGATCA